CAACACTCCAGTTATGCCAGGTGGCTCCCAAATGGGCCAGGTATTGTCAGGCTTCCTGGCCTTTGCTTATGCTAAAACTTCTGCATGGAATAACCTCTTTATCCTTCATGTTGCATAGTCCTGCTCATCCTTCTAGGTCCAAATCAAATGTTAGTAACTCTTTAAAGGCTTCCCCAACCTCCAGATGCCGCTATACTGCTGGTATGACACAACATATCATCTTATTGACAGAGGAATTTCTCTTGTTCCACTGTTAGGTCTTTGTGTTTTATATATTTTTGTTTTCCTATCATTGAGCAAAGTCCCTAGCACACAGTGGGTCTTCAAAAAGAATTACCTAGTTACACTTGTAGGAAGTTCTCTGTTCCCCAAATTATCTCTCTAGCTGGCTTATAACACTTAAGATTCCAGGTACTGAAGATTTCTTGGTCTTCAAGAAATGTTATTAATATGTTAACAGATTTAGAGGAATTATTTTATCAGATCATTCCAAGTATGACAGCAATTTGAGATTAAGACCCTTAAAAACCCTCTGACCCAACAATTTGTCCAGCATTTATCCTGTAGGTGTACTCACATACCTACAAAGTAACATATTCACTGCATTGTTGCTGATAGGTAAGACTAAAACAACCTACATGTGTTTCAATAGGGAACTGAATAGGTGATAGGTAAACTATCGTGTATTTATATCATGGACTATTGTGCAGTGTTAAAAAAAAAGAAAAAAAAAAGAGCCCTGGCCAGGTAGCTCAGTCGTTCTGATACACCATGGCTGCAGGTTTGATCCCAGCTCAGGCCACATACAAGAATCAATCAGTGAATGCATAAATAAGTGGAACAACAAATGGATGTCTTTCTCTCTCTCCCCTTACCTCTCTAAAATCAGTAAAAAATTAATGAGGGCATGCATAAACATTGACTTAATATGATGTAATAGTAACTAAAGGAAGCAAGCTATAAAACATTATTTTTAGTATGGTACTATTTATGTTTAAAAGGGAAAAGTATATATATTTGCTTTTTCAGGCACAAAATATTTCTGGAAGACTGATTTATTTCTCCCTAGGTGAAGCAGGTGCTGGCAAAAGGGGTGGGAGGGATATTTCCCACTATATATCTTTTTGTAAATTTTGAATTGTTAACTATATGAATATGCATGTTATCTATTGAATAGGATATATGCGAATATGAATATATTCTGTTGAAACAATGCATTAAAAATAAAACAATATTAAAAATCAAGAAGCTTGGCATAGACTAGGCATGTGTATATGTATTTTGTTCTAGGAGAAATACTAAGAGAGGGGGAAGTTTTCCTGTTTCTGAGGAAATCCAATTGTCACAATAAACGTAGTGCCTATAGGGAAGTGAGGATCCATGTGGTGACAGAGGAAGGGAGGAAAAAGATATCGTAGGAATAGCTCAAGAAGGAAAATACACAGGAACACTTTGAGGGCAGGTCTTTCTGCCCGAAGCTGAAGGAAGACAGGAAATAATGCCATCTTACTGAATGTGTCTCAAGCCTTAAATAAATTGCACACTCTTGCCCTGGTCGGTATCTCAGTGGTTGGAGCATCGGCTTGCGCACTGAAGGATTTCGAGTTCAATTCCCGTCAAGGGCACGTACCTCGGTTTGGGTTTGCTCCCTGCCCCCTGGTCAGTTGGGGATCATGCAGTCCATGTGTCTCTCTCACATAGACGTCTCTCTCTCTCTCTCTCTCTCCCCCCCTCTCCCCTCCCTTCTACTCTCTGAAAGAGATGATGGGAAGAATGTCCTCAGGTAAGGACTAACAAAACAAACCAAAACAAACAAACAAAATTGCACACCCTTTGACCTAGATATGGATTGATATACAACATAATGTTGAGGGGGGAAAGCAAAATGTAGAACAATGTATATAGTATGACACCATTTGCATAAAAAAGGGAAAATAATATTAACATGTACTGCTGATATACGCAAAAAATAACTCTAGAAGATTATACGAGATATCAATCTCTGGAGAGCAAACTCTTCTAGCAATTTATTTTAAGAAATAATTGAACAAGTGCACAAGAATATGTAGTAACTAAACTGAAAATTGGTTAAATTATGATACTTCATACAATGGAATCTTAAAATGGCAAAATGGCAGCCATTAAAATAACAATATATACACATATTCAATGACATTGAAAGCTGTTTAAATGGAAAAGATAGGTTACTAAATAATATGAATGCCAAGGCCCTACTTTTGTTAAATTTTATATATACATATATAGGATAGGATATATATAGATATAGATCACAAAATTAATGGGAAACTTAATTTTTTTCTTGTTCTATTTATCGTGTTTTTCTTTTATAATAAAAACAATAAAGCTAAATATTAAAAAACAAACAAACAATAACCTGAATAATGGTGTTTTCTCTTTACTCCTCCTTTTCCCCCAAGACAAGAACCCCTCCCCCTTCAGTGCTCTCAGCTCCTTCTGCCCACGGGAGCATCAGTCCAAGGCCATTAACAAGAGTCCCTGGGCGCACAGGCAGCCTTGGGAGGGGGATCAGGCTTTCTAAAAACACCCTGACCCACCTGACTCGCTGGGTAAGGAAAGGGGCAGGGACAGGGACACCTCTTGCTCGCCACCCCACAGAAAGTGTGAGGGGGAAGGAGGTTAAGCCTTGGCTCTATCCCACCGTCATTTCTCCCAGGGCAATTATTTGGGGAAAGTTGAGTGGGGGAGTAGATCAGGAGAGAAAGGGCTTATTCTTTAAAGTTGATATGTTCCATGTCTCCTTGAGAAGAGGCTGATGGAAAAGTACAGCATAATAATTATCAATAATAAACACATAAATAATGCCATATTGGTCAGAGCAGGGATTCCAGTGGCGGTGAGGTAGTGCTGGCTACTTTAATTACGGTGTGCACATCTTTCTCAAAGTCATCAGTAGATGTCAATGACAGGGGAGATGGTCCGTTTCCTGCTCCTGCTATAATAGAGCAGGGGCGACTTGGACATGTCTATATTCACTTCTGGGGAGGGCAGTATTTCCTGTCCTGCCTCTGTCTGTGTCTCAGAGGAAAGAGGCTCAGCCACCAAGCGTTCCTGGGTATTAGGGGTTAGGGCACAATAAGAGCCCCGGGGGGAGAGGGAGAGAGCCCTTTAGATCAGTAAGCCAGGGAAGCACAGATAACAGATCTGATGGGCTCTAGTTTCAGAAATCTGCGTTTTATGCCCCCTCCCCTCCCGCCACTATGATAAAGATTTTCCCCATTCAACAACCAACTGGAAAAACACCCTTATTCACAGATTAGGGAGCCCTGGCAATGCACACACCCAACACTTACGCAAACAACACACGCACCAACGTACTTGCGCACCAATAATACACGCGCATCACATTATACGCCGAGAACGCGCCGAGACACAGACCCCCACACTGACAGACCCCCGACCCCGACAGACCCCCACACCCTGACAGACCCCAGTGCAGCAGGACTCGGGAGGGAGGCTGTTGCGCCCCCATGCACCCCCTAAGATACCCGCGAGGAGGAGGAGAGGGAGGATGAGGCTGGGTGGTGCGCACACAGCCCCGCACTCAGACACGTGCACCGAGAAACACGCCGCGCATCCAGGTTCCCGGCGAGGTACGCACCTGGGACAGGCACCATCCCGAGGACCGACCTGACCAAACGCTCTCCCGGGCGGACGGCATTTTACTGCCCGAGCGCGGCGGACCCAGAACCCCAAATCTAAAGGAAAAGGCATCGCCGGCGAGTGAGCGAAGAGAGGAGAGGGAAGAAGACGAGCTGCGCTCCCGAGGAACGGGACTTGGGAGCTAGCGAGTGGGAGCCGGTGCCC